CGCGCCGAATCAAGAAAGGGATAGCAATCTAGAAAATGAAAGCTGCCAGCGGCAAATAGCTTTCATGGAATCGCCCCATGAGAAACCCGTGAGATATAATCAAACCTGGTATGAAAGTGATCTACCCGAAATCCAAGGGCGAACAAAAACACACCTATGACCTATGGCTGGGATTGTTCCATAGGAGAAAACCAAAGGTCACATGAGCAAACCCATAGGTCAAAGAGTTGGATCGAAACCCGGCCGATGTTCTGCGGCTGTTCCCCAAGAAACGTGAAGCCCGAGGCAAGGTCAAGCACAATGTTCAGCGCCTGAGTGGGGGGGGAGGGCGGCATGGCCCCTTTTTGGATCCCGCGAAATGACAAAAATGCGGGCCTCCTCAGCTTCTTTGATGGCTTGGATTGATGCTTAGGCCCGTGTTTTCCGCTTCTACTCAACCCCCCGAACCACAGAACTAAGCCACCAACTAAGGGCGACCTGGAGTGTTTGACCCAGGGAGAAACCCAACAAATCCACCTGGAACATCCTACTGCAAGGTTCGGGTCATGGAACACAGGAGCGGGGGGGCTGGGCATGCCATGCAAGCCCCGAAGCCTTCAGCGTTCGATGAACTCCATCGCTCTCAAGGACTTCTTGTTTGTTTGAAAGCTTGGGTTTGAACGAAAATTTGGGTTTCAACCCCGGGAAAAGCCTCAAATGAGCGTTGGCTTTTATTCCCTAGCTTCCGCCGCGGGCCAAAAACAACACCGCTCACATGGGGTTCGTCTCCTTTTGGCGTCTCTTCACCAACCCCCTTGAGAGAGTAGCCTCGAGAAAGGAGTCCTCAAGGGGAAATAGAGCCACGCACCATGTTTGAGAGTCACCCATCAGAGTGTCCGACCTTCCAATCAAGACAGCCGACCCATATCCTCCATTCAGTCCCGTGGAAAAAAATAAGCAGGTTTCCGGCCTTCCACTCAAATTGTCCGACCCATATCCTCAATTTGCTTGTTCGCCCCCTGGACAAAATGAGAAATCGATTCCCTAAAACCAACAGGGAAAATTAAAATATGGGGCTGGATCAAAAGATCCCATATACATGGGATAACCATTGGTTGGACAACCAGAAAAAGGCTTGACATTTCAACCACTAAAGGGAATAGTTACCCATGGTCAAAGCTGGGGGGCCCTACATGGAATATTGATCAACCCCATATATTCTTAACCAAATGGAAGATATGGCTGCGGCCTTTAGCCTTCATCAAGTGGAAGTGGAGTCCTCTTGAAAAGGCCCACCTCCACTTGGGTGCGTCTTTTGTTCGGGAACCCCCGCTACCCCCCAAAATGGTGGTTTTCCTCTTGGTTTCCCCTTAAAACCACACACTCTCAAAAAGTTACAGACCCACTTGGTGGAGAAAAAGGGCATCACCGGGATATCCCTCTCTTGCAGTCCCCAGCATAAACCGCGGAAGGCGATGCCGGCGCGCGATCGCGCGCCTGAGTCGTGAAGGATGCTGCGTGGTCCGCAAAGGTGTGTGGCTGCATCGCGGAGACCCGAACGCCATTCAGGCTGTCCTCGAAAAAAGAAAAAGTAGAGGTAGACGGTCGGGGAAGTGGCTCTGGCAATGGCTCTCACTTGAGTGATGGGTCACAAAACGTCCTGGAACTTTTTGTATTTACTACTGAAACGGTCTTCCCCAAAAATTTAAAGTCCATGAACTCAGGATTTGAGGGTGACTTACAACATCCAAATCTGTCTGAGGCAGAGCTATAGGGGAGTGAAACTGGGTCACTCAGTTTCAACTGGGTTCCAGCCAACCTAATGGACTTGCAAAACCCCTCGACTCACGCATGCAAATGCTGCACAATCGCGTGGAAGCGTTTCCCACAGAAACCACCGTTGAAGAAAATGCCAAAACAAATCAGGATGGTTGATTCGAGGGGAGTGCTTGCTTCATTGATTCATGCAGATTTGTGGCAAGCAACCCTAGCCATTGCTATGCCGATCGCTGTTGGGTGATTTGACAATGCTGCAATAACAGGATGCAATTAATTAGACAAAAGGGATTGGTAGCGTCCTGCTTTTCAGACACCAACCGAAGCCCGCGTATCCAGCCAAGCCAAGACTCGGGTGACCACACCTCAGCTGAATGCAGCAAATGGGCACAGTGAATATGGATGGGGCACCCTGTTTGGGTGTGTCGCTTTTAAGGGGACCCCTCAAAATGAGGGTTTCCCTTGTGGTTCCCCTCAAACAAGGGTACCATCAGAAACGACATACCCGTTTGAGGTGCGCTTAAAGAGAAACCAAAAGGTAAACCAGCCATCTTTAGGAGGCCTTGACTTTGAGCCAACGCATGCGATCATTCCCATTGCGACATGGTCATTTTACAGGCACCTGTCAGTTGCAGAATTGCAAAGAAACCAGCAAGCTGACAAGGTCCTGCAGTAGAGAGCTTAGAATAAGGGTACCCATTTTTTTCTGTAGTCCATTTTAGTAGGGGAACCCTTCGCCAAGAAAGTTACGGTAAAAGGGCACCTAGCTGGGGGACCTAGCTGATCTCAGCGAAGTTACTGGTCTGCTTCTGTCCCTCGATTCCGGGGGTCCAAAAGTCCAAGGCGACCTTCGCTCTGGTGTTTTCGGGTCAAAACGGGCTGACAGGAATCGCCGGCAGGGCTGCAACAGGAGTCCTCCAGCCATGACGCTGGATGGCAATGTGTTCTTCTGCGCTCGCTCAGTTCTGCGATCCCTAAGGCTCCTACTAGCACTTGGTGGACGTTGGAATCGGAGCAAGAATCTAAATTTGAGCACTTCAATGGGGATTTCCCACTAAACCACACTAAGCAAAAATGTAAGATGTTTTCCAACAACAACCATGAGCAACCAAGCTGGAACCTGGCGAAGACGCACTTTGGGCCCAAGCTTCACAGAGTGGAACTCGTTGCCAGCAAGGGACACTTGAGGTCTGAAAAGGGGTTGGGGCCCATCTTTCCAGTTGGGTGGCTAAAGTTCCTGCGGAAAGATCCAAATACCATCAGTCCACACAAGCAGTCCAGGCAAAAAGAGCATGTCGTATCCCAATGTAACCTGTGTATACGCGTAATCTCAAGCTTTCAACCTGAAGTTAAAGGCGAATGGGAATATGAAACAGCCTCCCCTGCGCCTAGTCAGCATCAAAATCGACACACAACTGGGGCGAATTTCTGGCCCTGTTGCGTTCCCATGATCGAATTAGGACCCCAGCAGGTTAGTAGAAACCAAAGGAAACCCCCAACAAGCAAAAACAAACAATAATGGGGAACTAATTCTGGGGAAGTAAAGGGGGACAAACTCATGTTCCGACTTTGACAACCCAGAAAACAAAGAAGTCTTGGTTGCTGTTGACCCCTCTGCAAAAAGTGAATTACTTCTTGTGGGCCCAAATCCTACGATCCAACTCCTGGCTGCTTAACTTTGACCCACAACCGATCAGCCAGAAAGGAGTGACCGTAGATTCCCCACCGCTTCAGCTTGCGGCACGTTGTGGGGCATCTGCCATTGCGGCGCATCTCTGGACAGCGTCAGCTGAGGCGCCTTCGCAAAACGATTCCCAGCTGGGAATCCTGAGAATGAGGCTCCCCGAATCTGAGGAACCGCTGGTGAACCAACTGGGTTTGTCTCAACATGGGACTTGGAACCCACTGTTGATGTGCGAACACCATTTCGCACCAAATAGGTGGTTTCTCTGTCACCTTTCATGCGGCTGAATCCCTCCCAGCTGGTGCTGGCGTGGATTTCGCCCATTCACAGTCCAATATTGATTCAGAGCCTATCAAGGGGGGCCATGGGAAACGATGCCCCTTATTTATCATCAAAAAACACCCTAACCATCACTCTCAGTCACTTCAACTCTCCCTATGGCTCTGAATCAGGGAACACAGCGAACGGGCTCCGGGCTCCTGAAATCTCCAAGCCTGTAATCCCAAGAGACTCTGCCCATTGGCGTCCCTTTCAAAGCAAGCAGAGACGGCTTTTTGGCCAAACCACAGGGTACAGCAATATTTTAGCTGACCCAACTGAGCAGAAAAATGATACATGACATATGGGAGGAAACCCCAGTTGCATTAACTTTATATCCTGCAAACCTCTCTGTGTCAGAGTTGCCCATGACCGATATAAGCTTCTAACCGGAGCACCTCCACTAGCGCAGGCACACAGCTGGTGCGTCGGTAGAAGACCACCGCAGGCGTCGCCTGCCGAGCGGCAATCGCCAGTTCTTTTGTTTGCTCTCGTGTTTCTTTTTCTTTTTTAACAAATATTATTTTTGTTGGTTTATGTTGTTTTCCCCGTTGGAAGCACACCGTTTGCCATATTGCATTCTAGATCCTACAGTAGCGAGGTTAGAATAAGGGTACCCGATTCTTGTCTGTAGTCTATTTTAGTAGGGAAACCCTCCCCCAAAAAAGTTGGTAAAAGGGCACTACTGGGGGACCTAGTGCAAGTAAAGCAACCAGAAACCATGGTGGAATTTCCGTTGGGTTGCCTACTTGTTCCCTTGCAATTGAGTTGGCATCGACTGTGCCCGGAGATCCCAGACGTTTCGCCTACAAAACCTGCATGGAATCTACTTCTGGGAACCTAGGCTCGCGTTCAAACCTGAGGACCCATTTTTCCAGGGCACCGCACGAGGTTACCCCCAGAACAGAAGGGTCGGGATGGTCCATCTAGGCTTTTTGCTTGACATTGTTTGACAACCAAATGTAAAAAATACCATGAGAGGCACCATAACTTGCCAGCACCCTCCAACTGCGTTTCATCTCCAGCCCCAGGAAGCGATGCAGTTTCAACCTTTTGGACAGTACCAAACTGGTGGCTTCCTGTTGGTGTCCCTTTAATCCCAAATAAAAAGGGTACCAAACAAAACACACACACACACCGCTTGAGCTTGTGCAAACTTCGAGAACAACGCTCCGGGCGCCCGCTACAGCAGGACCTTTCGCACTTTGTCATGGCGGTTTGTTTGATGAGAAGATCCCATGCATCGTCAGCATTTGGTGGGAATCGAGCTATGAAAGGAGAGCCTGTGTCACGTGTGATGAAAAAAACATCCAGTAGTGATAGATTCCCTTTAAAGCCAGCACGGGAAAAAAAACACTTAAACAAATGGAAGTAAGTGCCTTGCGACCCAGGCAATAATCCACCCTGGCATTCAACTCTTGTGCAAGTCGGCGACTACCCTGAGCACTGACATAGCCAGCCCAAGCGCCCTCCATGCCACATTTGCGCACCCCATGCCACCCGCATGCCTGAACTACTCGTGAAGCAGCACGCACCGCCATCTGCTATCAATCAGGCTAACTTATGTCCAACCCATGGGGAATTTCCTGTTGAGTAAATCCCATGTTGAAGGTGCAGCATTCCAGCTAACTTGCTGCAAGCTCGGGACTTGACTTGAGCCAGGGTGCGCTGTCAACCGAACAGCTGGCAAACTGGCGACCTCGCAGAAACCACCCCCCGCAAAGCCTGGTGGAAATCCATGGGACAACTAGGCACATTTTGTTTCCTTAGTCCTTGTTGGGGACATCCAAAAAGAACGAACTCGGGCGTTGGGCATTGAATACACGCAACATCTGGAGATGTTCTTGGGGCTGAAGCTGACTGTGGATTCCTGGGCATTTGGTTGCTCACTTGCCCAAAGGACTCAGAAATGAAAGGTTAACCTTTTGGAACCTTGACGAAAAATGGACCAAACCAGGGAAACCAGAAGGTTAAAAGGTCGATTCGCTTTGGGCAAGTGAGCCTGATAGGCCTCAAAGTAGGGGCTGCAGTGCGTCCGCGACTTCGCGGGTAGATACTTAGTGCCGGAAAGCTGCAACACCTAAAATCAAGCACAAGCTTGAACACACATCAAATCACCCAGATGCTCCTCCTCATAATTATATAGGTTTGCCTTGCACCGACAGCCACCTGTTCGGCCGACCTTAACCCAACCCTGAACCACCAATAAATGAACCAAATCACCCAACCCTACGGCAACCCAAATTCAACCCAACCAGCCCAAAACCTCCCATCGATCCCAGCGATTCATATCTTCTTCTCCAGGCAAGCGCTTCTCGCCCCATCGGCCCGGGTCCATAGATGCCGAAGTCCACAAACCTAAGCCCCCTGAAAAAAAAAGAGATAGCTATGGATTCCCTTTAAATCCAGCAAGGGAAAATAAACAAATACTCTTAAGCAAATGGAAGGTAAGTAATCAAGAGAACCAACCTTTTAAACCTAGATAACAATTGGAGGTTGCCAATTGTACAGCAAGTGGGCTCCTCAGAGAAATGCTCCAGACCCATCAGCTTGCACAAGCAGAACTGCTGGCAACTTGAGGTGGGAAGTCACAACGAAGCAACAGGTGGCAGTGGCCACCTTTTGAAGAGGCAAAAATACACCCAGAGGCCATGGAGGATTTCTACATTTGGGGTGCGAAGGCAAGGGGGGAATGGTACTGGGACATGGTGGGAGCTTGTGAAGTATCGACTTCAAGGGGCTGCTGCCGCCTTTGGGATGGAGTACAAGAAAAGCAGCTTGCCATCTTCATCACGAGTTGCCTGGATCATGGACCATGCAGCGGTTGCACCCTCTTTGCCAGAGGTCACGCGAATTGGCGCCATCGACAAATGTGGAGCCACAAGAGACACAAAAATATCCCGTCGGGTCACTGGGCAGCTGGTGCCACATGGGTGTGTGTGTGTGCATTGTCCGAGGGTAGCCCTTTCACCTTGGCTTCAAGGGAAACCAACTGGGCAAACCAACCATTTTGGGGGTCCCCCTATCTTGACACATACCCACATGCACCCAGAGACCCGTTTAGCCCGGTTTGGGTCGCGCACAAGAGCGGAACGAAGGCGCGCAAAGAGAGCTCAAATACTTGAAATGATAGAGGCGCGCCAGGGGCAGCCTGGCATGGCGGGGGGGGGGGGCATGTTGATCACCATGGCTGACCAAAACCGTGTGGAGAGGCTGTGCAAACCGTGTTCGGTCAAACAACTCTGCATGTTCATATGAGCCAGGGCCAAACCTCCTATGGTCATGGCTCCCTTAGGATTCGTTATCATGGTGATTAAGGATCCTTACTACCAGGTAGGTTCCCATACCTGTTACCCACGAGTAATGGAACCGGTCTGCTGACCAAAGCACCAAACCCAGTTGGCCGCTGCAGGTCAAAGTAGGGAATGAACTAATGGTTCACGTGATACCTTGCCAACCCAAATCTCCGGTAGTCATGGGAAAACATGGCAGGCTTCAAAGGGAACTGGGTGTGGCTCAAAATTAAACAGGGAGGGGCAAACCGCGGGTTTTGGTCCATGTTTCCACTTACTACCGGAATTTGAGCCACAGCCAACTTCCAAGACGAGGAAACACTTGCTGCTGCTCAGCAGGGAATGAGACACGGAATGACGCTTGTAAACCATCCCTTGTGGTTTCCTTTCAGAGGACCCCTGGGATCATTGCCACATTCCCTACTGCGCACCAGCAAAAGAAAGGACATGCTCGACGTGTCTGCGTTCTTCTTTTTGCCTCGCCGGATTCTGAGGCTGACGCCTTCGGTTGAAGACCCAGCTGGGGGGCCGGGCTCATACAAGTACCAAAGGGTTGTCATGGGAATGAAGGGCACCCTGTTTCTGATAGTTCACGTGACAAAAAAAAGACCCTCCAACGGGTCAATCCCAATCCATAATCCTTTTTGGATTTTGGAAACCACAACAAATGGGACCCTGTCACAACCCAAGGTAGGGATTAAGGATACTTGTTGCAATTTAGCAGCCTAGACGATCAGATGAAGAAGAAAAAGCCACCTTCCTTCTGGGTGGCCGACACTCCTGGACTCACAGATCTAGAGGTGACAAGCAGCGCCGGCTCCGCGCAAGCAGCGAAAGCAGCGCAACGTGGCTAGGCCTCGAATCTCGGAAGTTGTGGGAGTCAAGTTTCAAGAAAATACTACAGGCATTGGCCTGACAGGCATACCGTGCGAACTGCGATCTCGAAGCGTTGAAGCCTCGACTATGGCTTAAAACTCAAAACTGCTATAGCGGGGATACGGAGGAAGCGTGGATATGGGGGGATTCCCTTGGCGCCATTTCCCATATCAAACTTAGTCAAGGCGCATTTAGGGGGAATCCTCCCGCCCTGGTTCACCCTGCTTCCCTGCTAGTTGGTTTCCCTGAATAGATGGCAAAACAGCGCAGAAACTTTGAGCTGAACTTCGTTTGTGGCTCGGACGGAAGCACAAGTTTCTCTCGGCCTCCTCTCAAATGTGGAGGTCAGTTGTTTTGCGTACAGGGCAGGTCTTGCTTTCCTTTGGTTTCTCTTCAAAACCACAGACCAGGGGTGCTTCAAACCAGGTCGCGCGCAGATTGCACTCTGAACACCGACTTGGGTCCTTTGGGTCTCTCCGAAAGGACCTGATCGCAAAAACGAGGCCTCGATTCCCTATTCTGTGACAAACAGACTCACTGACTGACTGCCTGCCTGATTGACTGACCGGTGAGCCGACCCAATGATGCGATTTTTGGTGTGTTGGGGATCTTAACTCTCGGCTCAGATGCCCAATGGAGCTACATGGGAAAACAAGGGCACCGGCATCTGATTTTTTTTTTTTTTAATAGTTGAGTTTAAAGGGGAACCCTTCCCCCCAAAAACACGTTGGAAAAAGGGGGCGGAACTTCCATCTGGGCACCTGGGTCAGGCTGTCCCTTCCTGGGCTCCCTGGCAGGCTTGGGATACAGCACGGTGACCTCAGCACCCCACCACCCCCCCCATGGGGCCAGGGCCACGAGCAGAACGCCGCTTCAGCAGCTGAAGCTCAATCTTTCCTACCCTCAGATCCCCTGCCAAAAGTGACTAACTCTTAGCAGAGTTACATGGAAGTCCCCAAACACTAAAAACCTACGGGGATTGCTGGAAACCACCGGGTTGGGTTCACTGGAACCCCAAGCACAAGCTAAGGAACCGGAGGCCTAAGAGCCACCAAGTTAAGGTTGCCCGCGAAATGCAAAGCACTTCTTGGCACGAAAACAGAAAAACAAAAAACGTTAAAAAAAGACTTCACTTCGACCCCCCCTAAGTTCGCTTGGCTAAAGTAGACTGCGACGCCGGCGCAAAATGGCCAGCGTTCCCTATCAAAAGCAGCCCACCAGCACCTGACCTTACATCGTCAAACGTGCGCCGGAACCCAGCTGGTCAGTTTCCTTCCCAAAGCCTCCAAGAAACTAGGGTCCACATGTTGGATATGGTTTCGTATGTCTGCACAGAAATACTCGACAACAGTCAGACCCCTTGCAAGTCATCGTTTTTGCTTCTCAAGTCACGTTGATGGAAACCCAAAAAGGCGCAAGCGAAAAAGCCAAACTAAGTCTGGCCTTGGTTTGGTTTGGCCATGTTTGAAAAAAAGGCTCCGACACAGGCGCAGATCCGAGGCGTTCACACCGGCGAAGGTGGACATGCTCACCGAGGCCTGCATGTGAGAGGCTCGACGCTGGAGCACGAAACGTCTGAAATGGGCGTCGTGTTCGGAGTTGGTGGCTTTTGTGTTGCAGTTTTAAAGGGAAACAACAAGGAAAACCAGCATTGTGAGGGGGTCGTATTCAAGTGGATGCTACATTATTGTCCTTGCCACAAAATAGTATGGCCATTCCTGCCACAAAAATACCGTCTGCTTGGCCCCTCCGATGTTGCTTTAAGCTGTTCAGCATGATGGCTGCATGTCCCCCAATTCACCATTTACCCTTCATTCACCCCCAAGCAGCACTGCACAACGCCCAAGCAGCACTGCACAAACGGTTGATACCAAGTAGCTTGGGGCTTAGAGAGGGAAACACCTTGACAAACAAGTCGGTTGATGCATTTGCTCAAGCCCCCGGAGAAAAGAAAGCAAACAAACCATATTTTCATTAGTGGTAGATGTCCTTTGAAATCAACCAGGGAAAAAAACATAAATACTCTTAAGCAAATGGAAGTGATACTCGCAAGTTCCGCCATGCCGGTTTAGCGCCGGTGATATGACAGCTACGCATGTGGGCCTAGCCTCAGCTCTCTCGTGGCTCTGCGGACTCCAGCCCCGAAACCATTTGAGTCACTTGCTCACCTGGTATTAAAATGGGTCGCACTCCCGGAATGCTTCAAGAATTAAGGCGGAGGTCCGCAATTTCTGGCTGGGACTGCCCCTAACCTTCATCTACCCGGGTTTTGAGCAAGTGGCTCATTTGAGCAAAATGGTCGTCAGGTCATAGGTCAAGGAACTCGTCAATTCGGGGGAGCTTCCGCGCTGGCATCTCAGTGGCACATGTCTGAAGATTGATGCACCTTTGCAGCAGGGTCGAGGTAA